CAGTCGTCTCTTCGACATGCTTTTTTTTTATCTTCCGCAAGCTGTGCTTGGGACAATTAAAAAATGGCGAAAATACACAACCGGAAATGGCACTGCGAAAAAAAAAAAAAGTAGAATGTGAAACCTTGATAAATCGAAGCCGATTTTTTTCTGCAATATTTTATATTACCAGATGTTTTAAATTGCAATGCTGATAACTAAACCTAGCAGTATCTGACCGTGAAGAAGGGGTTGTACTTCGTGGTCGAAGCTGCAAGTCGCAACTCGATACGCTAGTTGCTAGACAAAACCACATCCACTCTCAAATCGGCTAATTACTTGAATAAGTCACGCGACTCGAGTTCCAACCTCTGTGGATAACTGCGACTAACGTGAACAGGGTCGACTTCATTACACTTAGTTTTATCCCGTATTGCTTGGTCTCTTTCTGCAAAACGGAAAGCCAGCTAGCGAGCACGACGCATAAAGTACCAACTGTGCTGCTCCAGAGACTACCTCCAGAAATATATGTGAAAATTGAAAGCATGAACCGAACAACGCAATTCGTGAATCGAACGAAGAATCTTCTGAGGACGAGGTAAACGACTTAGCCAATGGGACACGGAGACGCCCTAGATCAGCGATTGACCAGGGCTGTCGAAAATTTTGTTGTTGTTGAGAATAGCAACAAATTATTTTTGAAAAAGTAACACCAAAAGGTAAACAATTTGTAACTGTAAATTGAAAGCCGTTAAAAGGTCTTTAAAGTACAAACGCACGCGCGTGTGTGTGTTTGAAGTTTGAACAACGGGTAACCATCATAGCACATGGGTAGTAACCCATAAGTGCTCCGCTCTTCTTCTAACTCAAGTCCAAAGAAGCTCAGCACCGGCGAGGATCCTGAAATACTTTGGGTAGATTTTTAACTCCAAATTTCGCCCGGGCAGCGACGTTAGGCTACTCTTTTCGATTTCCAACTGCCAATGGTTTTTTACATGCGCAACAATGCACACGGGCCTCCGATCTCACTACCCAGAGACCAGGGGAAATACTAGAAGTCCAAGTCCGCGTGAAAAAAAAATCCCAGCTTTTACTTGGGATTCAACTCGGAACCTCTAGCACTCCAGGCATACACCATGCCTCGATACCACATAGCTCCAGTGTATGTGTGCGTGTGTGTGCGTGCGCGCGTGTGGGTGTGTGTGTGTGCGTCGACCCATTTCTTCAAGCGTGCATCAATGCAATTAGGCATAGAATGGTCAGTTTTGTATTAGCTGGGAGTCACGGTAGAGCAGTCTCCAGCACAGTGACTGTTAACCTTCCTAATGCGGGCCTTTAATACAGTTCCTCATGTTGTGGCGACCTCCAGTTAAATAGTAAAATCAAAGATCTCTTTTCCACACCTTTAGGCGTATAGGGCATATAGGGCTACACCTAAATTTTTTATAGATCAATCGACACAAGATGGGTGATGTGGTCAGCATCACGCCGGTCGCCTTTACTTCCCTGGACTGTGACACAAGAAGAAGAGCGGAGCACTTATGGGTTACTACCCGTGTGCTATGATGTTTACCCGTTGTTCAAACTTCAAACACACACACACACACGCACACACACACACACACACACACACACACACACACACGTGCGTTTGTACTTTACAGACGTTTTAACGGCTTTCAGTTTACAGTTACAAATTGTTTACCTTTTGGTGTTACCTTTTCAAAAATAATTTGTTACTATTCTCAACAACAACAACAACAATTTCGACAGCCCTGGTCAATCGCTGATTTAGGGAGTGCCCGTGTCTCAGTGGCTAGGACGTTTACCTCGTCCTCAGAAGATTCTTCGTTCGATTCACGAATTGCGTTGTTCGGTTCATGCGTTCAAAGAAGCTCAGATATCGATGTCTTTTTTATTATTTTGTTGTTGTTGTTGTTGTAAACCTTCCACAGATCCATACAAAAGAGTGGGGTGTAGGTTACAAATGAACTTCTCCTAGCCCACAAAGTTACTAATGACACATTTATACCTGAAACCTGTTAGCTTGACTTGCTTTGCGTTCAACCAGCATCACCATAGGCGAAAGCTTTAGGTTATAATTGTGACTAGGTTATGTGCAGCAGAAAGCGTGGCTAAGCATTGCTCGTCCCTAAATAGCCCTGTGAAAACTCTTGCAATGTTCATACGTTGAAAGGAGACAGACCTAAATATTGTCCCGACCGCCGACGAAGTCATCTACCGGCCAGCCTTTGAGCGACCCGGTCACCGAGGATGGATGTGGAGCAGGTTAATCAAAGTAATGTACTTTACAATCGGTGTTTCCTTCGTGCAGAAATCTCGTTGCAGATCAGAGATTGCCGATTTTTGTCGCACGGTGTACGTGGGTTTGTGGTTAGTGGTGTGCATGACTTCGTGACACCTGCGATGCATGATTTCGCATTCTAATCGATACTGTTGTTCCAAATATTTGTATCTGGCGGCAATAGAACATTGAAAGGAGATAAGAAAATCATGAAACACAAATTAGAATATGTGCAGGTAAACATGCAGACGCGGTGGACACAACAAATGAAAGCCATAGACACTGATGTATGTAAAGATAAGAGTAGCAGGAGGTATTCGGCCCCTTCCCCCGACCGCCTGGTAGGTAGGAGGTAAGATGGGTGTATGTATGGATGGATGGATGGATGAGTAGACGAACGGACGGACGGACTGATCAACCAAGGGAAAGATAGAGACAGGCAGGCAGACAGCTGGCCCGACAAATCGGTAAAAAGACAGACAGATAGACACATTCATAGACAGACAGACAGACAGACAGACAGACAGACAGACAGACAGGCAGGCAGGCAGACAGACAGACAGACAGACAGACAGACAGACAGACAGACAGACAGACAGACAGACAGACAGACAGACAGACAGACAGACAGACAGACAGACAGACAGACAGACAGACAGACAGATAGATAGATAGATAGATAGATAGATAGATAGATAGATAGATAGATAGATAGATAGATAGATAGATAGATAGATAGATAGATAGATAGATAGATAGATAGATAGATAGATAGATAGATAGATAGATAGATAGATAGATAGATAGATAGATAGATAGATAGATAGATAGATAGACAGACAGACAGACAGACAGACAGACAGACAGATAGACAGACAGACAGACAGACAGACAGACAGACAGACAGACAGACAGACAGACAGACAGATAGATAGATAGATAGATAGATAGATAGATAGATAGATAGATAGATAGATAGATAGATAGATAGATAGATAGATAGATAGATAGATAGATAGATAGATAGATAGATAGATAGATAGATAGATTCCGGGAGGGGATGACGACAGTGAGTCTATTCTGTTTTTCTACAAATTTGAGCTTCTGAGAATGAAAGGTACATTGCGTGGCTCTGTTTGTGGGCGAACGCACGCGTGTGTGTGTGCGTGTTTAATGAAGATATGGAATTTCGAAGGGTTCCGTCACGTTAGATAGAAGGAGATACTAGCTGGGAAGATACACTGCAGAATAAAGGAAAGAAATAGATAAGAAAGAAAGAAAGAAAGAAAGAAAGAAAGAAAGAAAGAAAGAAAGAAAGAAAGAAAGAAAGAAAGAAAGAAAGAAAGAAAGAAAGAAAGAAAGAAAGAAAGAAAGAAAGAAAGAAAGAAAGAAAGAAAGAAAGAAAGAAAGAAAGAAAGAAAGAAAGAAAGAAAGAAAGAAAGAAAGAAAGAAAGAAAGAAAGAAAGAAAGAAAGTAACAAACAAACAAACAAACAAAGGTTACCCTTACATCTGCCTTTCCGCATTCTCTATTATGCATTTCAGAATCAAATTAGAAAATAGCCATCCCTACAAGGCCTTAAATGCCAATGCCTAGAACAAGGCTTTCATTTCTTCCACTATCCCTCTACTCCTTAGATCTATCAGAATTATCAAACCACGGGGACATTTATCCAGCACTAATTGACACCAAGTTAAGAGATGTCACGCGGAGGAAGTGCAACGTTTTAGCCGAATTTTAACACATCAGAGGCAGAGGCGATGGGGCCTTTTGAGAAACCGTTTTCACAGTGCAAACTGTGCAGTGTCGGATACGTGGGAGGTTTTTTGTTCTTACAGAAATAATGAACACGTGGTGGTAAAAACGCCATGGGGTGACAGTGAATGAGAGAACATTTGGACGAACTTTTTTTCTGAAATGATCAAGAATTAAGGGGACAAATGCTTGTGTAAAGTTCTTCACTTATTACATTTCTGCTTACATGTATTTTTTTTTCTCCCTTGTGTGAATTTCAGAATAGCTGGAATAGCTTAAAAGCTATATAAATCAAATCTTGATATATGGAAGTGAATCATGGATAGCTGGTAGTTTGGTGAAAAATTATTTCGAAGTCGCGGAGGTGTGGTGTATAGACGAATGATGAGAATACCCTGGACATATAAAAAGAGTAATGAGGATGTCTTGAAAGAAACCGACTCAAGCAGAGAACTGGCTGCCCACATCAGAGAGAGACAGTCTACATTCTTTGGTCATGTGATGAGAAGTAGAAAACTCGAGTATATCGTGACAGTAGGACAGCTGGAGGAGAGCAGAGGCTGCGTAATTTTTCACTAATGTACAATGATTCACTTATTGCGGAGTGGGAGGGGAGGGGGGTGTCAGGAAGGGAAGACGGATAAAGGATAAAAATTATTGCAGGTTAAACAGAAGCGATGACAAACAATGGTCATGAAACCTTGTGAAACTAATTACGGAAGTCACCTCTTATACCACCCACATTCGCTTGCGCCATGAGCTGTGACTCCCATGCTTCCCTATAGCACAGTTTAGTACTATCGCCTGCAAAGGAAGAAATCTACAGCTCCTGCCATCCACCCCACCTTTTTTTAATTTTAAATACTTGCTGTTATTTTTATTTTGTCTTACTGCTATTTAACGGAATAATTTCTATTCTGTTTCAGTTTGTCAGCGACTTCAGAAATCAACCTGAAATCAGTTGAGAAGAGATACGCCGCTGTCAGGCCAAATCGAATGCTCGTGTCATCGTTCTCTCGCTATAACAGTAAACGACCTTTCGATGAACTCTCCAGCGGTTTGGTGGGTAAAAGAAGCGGTGACACCTTTGATGAAATCTCCAGCGGGTTTGTTGGGAAAAGGAGACCTTTCGATGAAATTGGAAGCGGTTTTGTAGGAAAGCGACCATTCGATGAAGTCGGAAGCGGTTTTATAGGGAAACGACCATTCGATGAAATCGGAAGTGGTTTTGTAGGCAAGCGACCATTTGATGAAGTTGGAAGTGGTTTTATAGGAAAACGACCATTTGACGAAATAGGCAGTGGTTTTGTTGGAAAACGACCATTTGATGAGATTGGAAGTGGTTTTGTGGGGAAGAGACCGTTTGACGAAATAGGAAGTGGTTTTGTGGGGAAAAGGCGGCCATTTGACGAAATTGGAAGTGGTTTTGTAGGAAAGAGGCGGCCCTTTGACGAAATTGGAAGTGGTTTTGTAGGAAAGAGGCGGCCATTTGACGAAATTGGAAGTGGTTTTGTTGGGAAAAGACCATTTGATGAAATTGGCGCCGGTTTTATAGGGAAAAGACGCCCATTCGATGAAATCGGAAGTGGCTTTGTAGGAAAACGATCTTTTGATGAAATTGGAAGTGGATTTATAGGTAAAAGGCGACCATTCGATGAAATTGGCAGCGGTTTTATTGGGAAACGGCGACCTTTCGATGAAATTGGCAGTGGTTTTATTGGGAAACGGCGACCATTTGATGAAATCGGAAGTGGCTTTGTGGGAAAACGACCATTCGATGAAATCGGAAGTGGCTTCGTAGGAAAACGACCATTCGATGAAATCGGAAGTGGCTTCGTAGGAAAACGACCATTTGATGAAATCGGAAGTGGTTTTATAGGAAAGAGACCTTTTGATGAAGTGGGAAGTGGATTCATCGGGAAACGATCTGTCTCCAACGCGGTAAATGCACACAGCAAGGAGAATTCTCAAGCAAAGGAATTCAAAAGCGTTTAATCGATTTGTATACACATAAATATACTTTACATACATAAATATATAGGATGGTTTGCTACATAAGGTTGAAATGAGATGTTTGATTGCAATAAGAAAAGGTATGCACTTTGTTAACAAAAGAAGGAAAATTACTGTTTTGTACACATTAGTAATTAAATAAACATATCATTTCAAAATTCGTTGTTTTGTTGGTCGTTGCATTCTACTCCTGATATCTTTGTTTTGGATAAAATGATAAGCAGTTGCTGTCAAGCATGTGTGTTTTTATCAATTTTCTACATTGCAAAAACGTTTGAGGCTTTACTGCCAAACGTACTGAACGTGTATTAGAAGGTCTGATAGAATAGAATAATAAGAAAAGACGCTAGCCCAGTGCGGGTTTCGGGGCCCCACTGTGGGAAAACAAGAATAGAACCACTGCCTCCCCAACAAGCATGTCGTAGGAGTCGACTAATTGGGGACGTCCTTCGAAGTCGGAGTGCATCTGCCCGAGTGGCAAGGAACAATGAACTGTACACAAATAAGCCAGTAAAACGGACGTACACACAAAACTCAGGCCCTGGAACAAATCCAAAGTCCAAATGATCGAAAAGCTAGGACCTTCCGTAGGAGCTTACAGCCAGTGAACAAAGAAAAGGAAGCAGAAGAAGGAGAAGAAGAAGAAGAAGAAGAAGAAGGAAAAGATAATATATCACTCCAGACAAGAATTTTAAATAATCAGTTTGAAATTATCACAATCACAAACGACGAAGTTGCAGTAAGAAAGCCTTCATCAGCATAGGACCAAACGGACGGTGATTCAGTTACAAATACGAATACACAAAGTCACTTATCTTTAGGTAGAGGTTTCTCACACAAGCATTCAATAAAAGTAGTTTCATCATTTACATCATGTAGCAGGTTATTTACAGAACGTAGCTCTAGTCACAGCTTACGTGAAAGAAACTCGGCCTCTCGCCAGTCCTCCCGCCAGGTACACTTTCCTAGAACGCATAACCTCCAATACCACCCCATCACTAGGATGATAGCAAAGGTTGGTAACGTGATACACATAGTCCCGGCAAAAAGCCACGCTAGAATCCAGCAAGACGGCAACGACGAGAATTGACTGAATGGCCTCCCGCTCCCCTTCCCCCCACCTTTCCCTAAATCTTTCGGATGCACTATGAGTTTAACCCCCCAACCCATTCCCACAGAGAGCACTTGAGTTCGTTGCCCAACATGCCACAACAATTCTCATCGCCGATCATTTGGATCTCAAAGCGTGAGCTGGACGGTCCGGTTATATGGTATTTACATACACCGGAGCTTAGCTATCAACACAACCCGATCACATAATAACAAATGACGACTGGACCCGCTAAAGACTCCACACAAACTCTCACACACAAATCCAATACACGACTAACCCGTTCATATTACAGGAAGACAACTATAAGACCACTATGGTCACACGCGGAAAATTTTCACATTTCGGAACTATTCACATTCAAAAACTGTTTTCAGTACTTTTTGGCAAAATTAAAATACTCAAAATTTTAAAACAATAAATGGTGGCCGAAAGGTCGTTGTGTTTGGAAGCTCGCTCTCCTTCGAGATACGCCTAGCCAGATCAAAGGGAGACAGAACAAACAGGAAAGAAACACCAAGAATGAAGAAGAAAGACATGCACCAGTGACAACAGGACGAGCGGTTTGATACGTAGGGAAGTATTAAGCCAGAAATGGCACAAACACCAGTATTCAGTCACGAAAGTGACGCAAATAACCCAGACCACAAATATAGGCGGAGACTGTTAGCAGCCTAGGCTAGCTAGCAGCAGTCTGAACGTGGTCGAGCTTTTCTTTTTTTTTCTTAAAAGGACTTGGAAAAGGACTCCCTCACATACTGTGCCCATCTTCGTGCTTTTCGGCCCCTGCTCCTCTCTCCTGGCACCAGGCCTTTTGCTACTATTCTTTCCAGTCTGCCGTGACGCATGATTTGGCCACAATGCTGTTAACTAACTATTCTTCTTTGATGTTCGGATCTATTAGGATACCTGCCATTCTTTTTTTCTTGGTGTGTAGCATTCTGAGCAATCTTTCTACACAATTTCAGTTCCAAACTGCCAATTACTGCCTCCACTTTACCATTTTTGCGGTGTAGGCAGGGGGGTCTTTGAGCCTGAGGATTAACGGCCGTGTGGCTAGTGCTGTCGCCACGACTGTGCGGGTGAGGATTTTATTTTTTCCCCGACAGAAAAAGGTCCCCAGCCTTACCGAGGATTCGAACCTGGGTCTCCCGCTTGAGAGCCCAGGGTTCTAACCGTTTGGCCAGCCGCTCCTCTGCAATTTCAGTTCAAAAGCCCACATTTTCTTCCTTTCGGGCTGCGAGATAGTTTAGACCGTAGAAACTCCTAGTCGACTGTGTAGAATACGGTAAAGCTACTGCTAGATTGGAAGTTACCGTGGTTTAGCGGTTAGACGCTTGCCTGCGGATCAGAATGTCCTGGGTTGGGATCCTGACATTTTTCAAAAGGGACCTTGACTCCCAGGTCGACCCAGGTCGAGTGGGTACCAGGTGCAGTCTTAAGAAGTAAAGAATGTCGGGGTGGTGCTGACCACATACCAGACCAAGAACCGATTGTCCTATAAAATTTAGGTTTAGCCCTATATGCCTGAAGACTTAGAAAAGGGACCTGTACTTAACTTATAGGGCATGCTTGCCTTGCTTGCTAACTGCTGTTTTTGTTTACTTTTGTCATCTTTACTAATACAAATCTCATCATCGTCATCACTGTCGAATTAAGATCATATGTCACACAGAAGGATACAAGCATTAGAAATGCGATGTTTTAGAAAACTTATAGGCATATTACACAGAGACCACATTACAAACGAAGAGGTTGACAAAAACATTATACAGCACATTGGCAACCATGAACCTGCTCTAACTACAGTGAACACGCGAAAAATGCAATTGTATGGACATGTAATGAGATCTAACGGCCTCTCAAAAACAATACTGCATACAGGGCTCAGTAGAGAGAGAGAGAGAGAGGAGAAGCGGCAGACCAAGAAAGACCTGGTTACAGAACCTGACTGACTGGAGAGGCCTCAGGCATGCAACCATGAAGTCGATCAGAGCTGACCGTCAAAGGTGGAGACAGATGATCAGACAGTCAACAGAAACTGGTGACCCAGCGACACGTAGTGTTACACGATGATGATGATGATGATGATGATGATGATGATGTCGCACAATTAAAGTAGAATGTTGTTGAATGTTGAATAAGAATCGACATCACAGCAGTCAGGACACCCCCATAAGCGCTCTGTCCCCAACTTCAACAGCAAGCGAAGAGTTCCGATCCCGATAGCACCGGTAAATGTCTGATTGTATATCCGTCTCGCCTTTCTCGTGTGTTTTGAGCACCGGCCAGATCCTCTTATAACTCCTCGCAGCGCTACTCTCCCCAGACCGTAATGATCTATATTTGCCTCCGCACTGTTCGATCGCTCCCAAAGAGCCCTCACAACATCCAGCTCGTCATACTTCAGTACACCACCAAGCGGTACAGAAACGGCCAGTCTATCTGCCTGCTCATTTCCCAACACATCGGTAAAACGTGGAAAAAATATCCAAAGGCTGCTAACTACCCGGGACCTCAAAAGTGATGCTTGCCACTCTGCAAGGAGCATGCCTGTCTACACCTTTCCCAGCATGCTTTGCGAGTCAGTTGTTACAATCACGGCATGTGTGTACAGCTGATTCTCAAGCCATCAGTGATTGCCTCTACCTCCATTCTCTAACTAGACGTTGTGACATCATAAGCCTAGCTTTGTTGCACTAAGTGACATCCATTCGCTTTTGCTATGATCGCCCATGCCTTTCGTCTGCCTCTCAACACAGAGCCATTTGTATAGATAATCACATTACCTAGGTGGGAATTGTCATGAATCATTTGTTGAACTGATTCTGCAGCACTAGCTAGCCAGTCCCTGTCCTCACGACTCAAAGTGATAAGAACCCTACACAAGTCTGAAATTTTCTCGGACACTTTGACTCACTCCTCTCCTCGCTTAATTTATTTATATTGCACACATGTCCAATCGTGTCTTCAGCTTGCGCCATCCAAGACCTTCCTCTTTTCAGTCTGACCCTTAGCTCTACTCAAGACTTCATGCAAGAGGTGCTTCTTGTCTGCAGCTACTCTGAGATATGACTTTGCTTGCAGAACTTTGAGCCTATCAGTAATAGTAGGCAGTGCAAGTATATATCGCATACATACTACCGGGGTATCTCTTGTACATCCCAGACAGGTAAAGTAAGGAAAGGTGAAGTAAAGAAAGGTAAAGGACCCTTTTCAACGCCTTCAGATGTATTGGGCATATAGTCTAGACCTATGTTATATAGACCAATCGGCACTCGCTGTATGATGTGGTCAGCATTACGCTGGTCACCTTTACTTCCCACGACTCTGCCTAGCACTTATTTAAGACTGGGTCAAAGGTCACCTTTTAAAGAAAAAGAAAAAAGAAAGGCTCCGTTACGACCTGAACCCACGACCTTCGGATCCACAGGCGAGAGTCTAGCCGCTACACCACGGCGACCCTCAATCTAACAGTAGCTTTATTCTACACAGGTGACACTGAGTTTTTTCTGTCCAGCCCAGCGGCTCTCTACTTGTGGGTCGGGACCCTTTTTTGAGTCGAACAACTCTTTCACAGGGTTCGCCTAAGACTATCGGAAAACAAATATTCGTTGAAGTTATGAAGTAGTGCCGAACCAAAATTTGGAACTGTACTAAGGGGTCGCGGCATTAGGAAGGGGGAGAAAAACGGGTCCAGACTATATCGCAGTCACTAAGTCGCTGTACCACTGCAGCTCACATGTCACATAGGGCTCGCATGTCACATAGGGCTCTCATGTCACATAGCGTTCACATGTCACATAGGGCTCGCATGTCACATAGGGCTCACATGTCACTTAGGGCTCGCATGTCACTTAGGGCTCGCATG